TTCCTCCTTGAGAAGTGGCAGCAGAGCAGCCCGGAGCCCCTCTGCGCAGACAAAAGCTGCCACAAAGGGCATTAGGGCTTCAGGATTGGATTACCCTGCGGCCACCTGTCATCCCCACTTTGTGAATTTATCTTGCTCCAGGTCCGGTTTTCCCATTGGAGAAGTTTGCACTTCAAAATATATCTATATATATATCTCTCTATCTCATTGCCCCTCACCCAGTGCCTCTCCAGGCAGCAGCCTGGCGGAGTGCGTTTCAGCATCCCTCCTTATTCCAGGCTTCGGAGCAGCGTGGGGCTGGGGATTAGGGCTGTTTGAATGAAGGGAGCCTTTATTACATTAGTCTGAGTGGTTAATAGGTAAAGTAGGCCAATCCATCTTTAGACTAAGCCCATCGCTTCGCCGACGAAGGGTGCAGGCTCCGCTGAGGAAATATTCATTAAAGGAAAAGCTTTTCCTCTGTCCCTCTTGACAGGTTGATAGCTCAGGGTTAGGGGCTCCGCTCTCCACCCGTGGGGAAATTCATAGCTGTGCTCCCACAGCGACTCCCTCCCCTCGGTGGGACCCCCCGCCCCCGACACCACCGGCAGCTCTGCCGGAGCCAGCGGGACAGCGCTGAGCCCCACCGGTGCTCTGCTGGGTGGGCTCGGTGGGGAATATGGGATGCTGGGAGGCTGCTGGAGCTCCTCATCCTCACTTGTGCTCTTCCACGCTCAGAAAGCAGGTCCCGCATCCGCTCCCAAGCAGGGATGTAGGGAGAGGGTTCAAATGATGGGTAGGGACAGTGCTTCAGTGCTGGGACTCTCTGCTGTGGGATGTTCTCAAGGCCAAAAAGTATTCATGGGTTTGAAAGGAGTAGACAGTTCGTAGTCACTGTGAAACGGCAGTGCTGGGACTCTCTGCTGCGGGATGTTCTCAAGGCCAAAAAGTATTCATGGGTTTGAAAGGATGAGACAGTTCGGGATGTTCTCAAGGCCAAAAAGTATTCATGGGTTTGAAAGGAGTAGACAGTTCGTAGTCACTGTGAAACGGGGTGATTTGGATGCAGATGCTGGCTCCAGAGAGCTTTGAACTCCAGGTTGCCAGAGGGCAGGAGGATAAGGAGACAGGAGGGACTGCTTGCCAAGCTTTTCATACTATCTTCATTTTCCACTACAGTATCCGCTACAGCCCTCAGTGGTGTCTCCATCCAGCCCTGTCCCGACTGGTGCGGCAGCTTTTGTCTGAGGGCTCAGCTCAGCTCCCCGTTTCCCACAGCCCCACTCCCTCTATCGTCTCCCGTTCTTCTCCCACACGGACGGCAGCGGTAGCTGCACCCGTGCCGCTCTTTTCTTGCACCAAACAGCCCTGGCAGAAGCTGCCCAGGTCTCTAAGGTGCCTGTGAAGCCTCCATGGAAATAGAGGACCTCACAATTGTCACGAGCTGCCCCAGGGCTGAGCTGTGCACACACCGTTGAGCTGGATGTGGGTTTCTGCTGAATCCGCTCCTGTCTCCCAAGGGGGCTGTGTCCTGCCAGGGGACCGCGGCTACATCTCTTCTAACCATTACGGCTCTTCTTTGCCCTCCCTCTGCAGTGGCCATCGTTCCGTGCAGCCCTCGCTGCCTTGGAGCCCCAGGAGAGGCTGTGTTCAGGGCTGGAGTCTGGTCCTGCTTCCACCAACACGTACGTCCAGCGTGTTGTGTTGGATCTGCAGTGCTATACGTGGGCCAAATTGCCCTTCTCCAGTTGTGGTTTGAATGGGAATAAACGCTTCTTGGTGACTTTTCCACTGGTGGGAGTTCAGGCCAGCCAGTTACCAGTTCCTCCTGTCCCTGAGGCTCTGTTGTCTCTGGCTGCCGGCACGACAGGTGATGGGAGATCATGGAAACCATGGGAAAGCTCCTCGCAACAGACAGGCGTGCAATAAAACTTTGCTTTCCTGGATGTGGTGCTGTTAGGGGTTCAAACCACATCCATGGGCCGCAGTATTTGGCTTCGCTTGCTGCTGGCTGTCTGTCACGCAGCCGCTTTTCAAACAAGGCAGCGCCTGAGACAATCTCAAGGATCTTAGTTTTGGGCTATGGCTGGCACCTGTCTATGTCTGATGAAGGAAGAGAGTGCTGGAGCTAGGGCCTGAAGGCTGGTTTTGGTGGATTCAGTTCTCGTGTCTTGGGTTGAAGGCTCCATTTCCATCTCTGCTCGTTTTAGCCTGCGCTGACCAAGCCAGACAGCTGTAGCAGTGACACTGTGCCTTGCCTTGCTTCTCTTGCCGTGATGGGTCACCAGCAAGATGTTCTGCAAATGCCAAGGATTCAAGTCCTCTCCAAAATATAAGGATTTTGGAGGTTCTAGACCTGCGCAGAACTGAATGTGCTCAGTGCTGCTGGATGTCCTCAGCCACAAGTGAAGTGTGGGTTCAGGAGCTGACTGGATTGCAAAGGGACTGACACCGGCCCGGTGGATGGCTCTTAGATGAAGAGTTGCTCCTTGCTTTCTTCCACTGACACGACACGCTCCTCTGTGTGTGTTGAAGCGCTCGTTAGGAGCCTGTGTGTTTCCCAACCAGATCAACTGACTCAGCACCTCCACCCCCAGCAATTTCCTCCTGTTTCACAGCCCGGCCCTACCCAATCCCTCTCTTGGGCAAGGAGGAAAAAATAAGCCTTGCGTCATTCCCAGGAGACTGATAAATACTGACTGTAGGAGTCCTGGAGGAGAAGGCGGTCTCGAGGTGCAGAGCCCTGGACGGCGCGGTCTGGTGGACCAGACCTGAAGCCAAGGGGCTTCAGTGCGGCGCGGCCGTCCTGAGCGTGTCTTGGGAAGCAGTCTCCTCTCCAGGCAGGTCCCAGGCCATTAAGGGCTTCATGGGTTGAAACCAACCTCTTAAATCAAGCTGGAAAGCGGTCGGTGGCCAGCGCAGGATGTAGAACTCTGGTTTAATGTGGCCATAAAAGGAGACACCAATTAATGAATAGACTGTTGAAATCCACATCAGCCCACAATAGATTTAAGAGTTGCTCTCCAAGTGTTATTGACTGGCTCTGTTCTGAGACGGCATTATGGGTTTGCGGAGGTGGCCAAAAAGGTGAAGGATGAGTCAGAGTTTTATTTTGGTTGCTGGTTTTTGGCACACGTTGGCTCCTGACTTCCAGAAGCTCTCATGTCCCGGGTGTCTGGTAGACCAGCATGATTTTTATCTACCTGTGAAACTCCACTTGTATGGCCTTGAAATCACAGTCCGAGGGGTTGCCATCACCCTTGGGCGTGGGTGGAGGTTTCCACAAGCTGATATCCCCTTCCTCCACAGTCTGGCTCGTCCATCGCCACTTCTCGCACTGACCCGTGTAGATCCGGTATGGTGACCATCTCCCACCACGGGTGCGTGGAGTGGGGGCTTTATGGGCAGCTCACCTGCGGTATGGAGGTGTAGTCATCGGGTGCCCCTGGCCAGTAAACACATTGCACAGAGTTAATGCCAGAAGCTGAAGAAGTAAAATACCAGGTACAGGGTGAGCAAAACAGTAGTTGCATAATTAGCTACTGACCAACTTTCACAGGCACGTGGGGATTTTTGGTTCAGTCAGACCTCTCATTCTTGGTTCTCCTCTTGTTTATCATCGTCATTGCTATTACCATCAGAAGAGATGGGTCAGGTTTTTTTCCTTGGCTTCTGAATCGGGGCAGCCACTGACCTTAGCACAAATTATCAGTGGCTTTTTTTAATTGCGAGAGCCCATGGTGCTCTTTGCTGTAGAAGCGTAAAAGCAGTAAGGGGGGATGTGGCCGTCGGGGAACAAATAGCCTCTGTGTGCCGTGTCCTATGTCTGAGGGAAACGCTGTCTGAGGCTTGCAAGTCCCCCCACGGCTGGTTATTTCTCTGTGCTGGGGGGATGCTTTGAAAACTTAATCAAGGTTTATAGCTTTAATTTTGTGGCTGACTCCCCTCTTGGTTATTTTTTTTTTTTTAACTGTCTCACGACCCAGAGCAAATGGGTCCCGTTGGGTTATAGAGGGAAAGAATTGGCAAATGGTCTAAAATATTTAGGCTTGCCGAGTGAACGATAGGAAAAAATGACTCTTCGGGCTTCGTGATGCTTCCATCGTTTCTGCAAGCTCTCTAATTTTTCCCCACATGGCTAATTAGAAATACCCACGGAATAAGGTGGAATTGCTGAAGGCTGTAGGTTTCAAGGCTGGTTTGTGAGGGTACGTCCTACCCACGAGCTGAGGTTGTGTCCTCCACGGTCGTACCCCGTCTCCTGCCCTGCTGTAGCCTGTGTGGCAGTGGAGGGGAGAGGTTGTCCTCGCTGGGTGCTGGAGTGGGATGTGCTGAAGATGCCACCAGCAGCTCTTGATGCTCCTTCTGGTGCTATTAGGGAACAAATCTGCCCAGTGGTAGGGAATAATAAAGCAATGGGTGAAGGTGGGTGCAAGAGGACCCCTGTGGCTGGGTGAGCTCCTGCTGTTGACAAGCCAGGGACAAGTTGCACCCTCTTGCCTGGATTGGGAGTAGCGTTGCATTTGGGATGCTAAGGGAAAGCAAGGTGGATGTACTCCGGTGAGCCCCTGCTTTTCCGCTACATCGTTTCTCTCATTCCCATGGGGAAAACAAGCCCTGGGCTGGGGCTGAGGGCTCTGTGGTGTTGACCTGAGCCAGGAGAGCCACCTGGTGCAGCTCAGGACTCATCCTGACCGGTCTGGAGCTGGTGTGGTACATTCAGCCACACTCCAGGTGCTAAGTGCAGCCCAGCTAATCCACTCATGGATAACTGGGAGATTACTCAGATGGATTTCTAATACAGTGGCCTTTAATAATAATCCCCCTCTAATCCCTAAATCAATGGAAAATGGATTTATCCGTACAAACTAAATGGCCTGTGTAGGCATTTTAGGAAGAAGAATTCTTGTGTGTCTATGTGTGAACGTATATATGTATATATGTGCAAATGCATTGGTCCTGTTACCTGCCGTTCTGACCCAAGTCTGTGTGTTTTGCCGGCAGGGACCTCATGCCCCGGACCCTGGAGGGGCAGATCACCATGGAGAAGACCCCCAGCTACTTCGTCACCAAGGAGGCCCCCGCCCGCATCTCCTCCATGTCCAAGGGCACAAAGCTCATCGTGGTGGTGCGGGACCCCGTGACCAGAGCCATCTCGGACTACACCCAGACGCTCTCCAAGAAGCCCGATATCCCCACCTTTGAGAGCCTGACCTTCAAAAACAGGACTACGGGCCTGATCGACACCTCGTGGAGCGCCATCCAGATTGGCATCTACGCCAAGCACCTGGAGAACTGGCTCCTCTACTTCCCCATCGGGCAGATCCTCTTCGTCAGCGGGGAGAGGCTGATCAGCGACCCCGCGGGGGAGCTGGGCAGGGTCCAGGACTTTCTGGGCCTCAAGAGGATCATCACCGATAAACACTTCTACTTCAACAAAACCAAGGGGTTCCCGTGCCTGAAGAAGGCGGAAGGCAGCAGCAAACCCCACTGCCTGGGGAAGACGAAAGGCAGGACCCACCCCGACATAGACCAGGAGGTGGTGCAGAGACTGCGGGACTTCTACCGGCCCTTCAACATGAAGTTCTACCAGATGACGGGGCAGGACTTCGGCTGGGACTGAGGCTGGCGTGGGAAAGTCCCCTGTAATTACTTGCCCAACACGGTTTGCGTATATAAAGAGATATATATGTATGTAAAATGTACAGAAATCTATTTTATAATAATTTATTTTTAATTCCTAAGCAATTAATTCACTAAGCTGCCTAACCGCACTGGCTAGAACGGTAGCCCGTAACCTGTTTAACATTCCACGGTGTTTAATTCTAATATGTTTCTTCTTTTCCTTTTTTATTTTTTTTTTTCCCCCCTCCTTCTATTTTCTCCTCTTATCAGTTTTCTTTGTAACAGACGGTGCTTCCATTTTTCCTAAACAAAATTTGTATTTAAAAAAAAAAAAAATCAAAAAGACATTTAAAGTTTGGGCATTCTTCATTACGGGAAAGAATCTTCCATGCTGAGGCCATTATCCATCAGAAAAGCTCCATCTGCGAATAATTATTTCTGACAAATGATATTAAGCTTCGTTAGAGAGGTAGTGGGGATGTGAGAGAAGACAGAGAGAGCTCAAGCTGTAAATAAATTTCTCCACTGTATTTCATTTAAAATCACCCCAGCAGGAAGTCATAAAGAATTTTTTTTAAGGGTAGTATTTTCAAATGCTCTGCAGGCTGTGCAGCCTAATATCCATCACCTTCAGTATATGTTCGGGGAACCCCAAGCCATGCAGCTCCTGCGCTGCAGCCCGGGACTCTGCTGGGAGGGCGATGTGCTCGAGCAGAGACGCCGCAGAGCCCTTTGCATGGGCAGCGCCGTCTCGTCGCTTCTCCTTCTCGCCTTTCATTGAGGAGGCTCTTCCCCACCATCCCTCTATGCGTTTGAAATCCGTCCTGCGGGACAAATGTAAAAATACACGTAGCGGTGTGTGACATGCTCGGTGCTGCTCCGAATGGCTCGCAAGAAGCGTGGTGTGGGGTGGCCCGTGCACACCGGGCGCCGCTGGGCCATGGCGGTGCGGGGAACGGCCTCCACCCACCAGTCGCCGGCAGAGGTGCGGAGCCATGTGAAGACCCCGCGTCGCCGCTTGGAGCCGTTCCCAGCACGGAGGGTGTCCCAGGACACGGCGCCGGCAGCGCTACCTCCAGCCCTGCGGCCATCGGTGCCTGAGACTGGGGAATGTCAGCCTTGGCACTCTTGACTCCCAGTACTTCTTGGTCCAACACCTTACCCGTGGTGTCCCCCAAGGAGCAGCGTTGGCCTAGCGCCTGGGAGAAGTGCTGCTTTGCCCTTGGGGATGACTGTAGAAAAGCAGAGGGCTGCACTTGGGTTGGGGCATTGCTGGCAGCCCGGGCACGGCCAGGTGCCACCCCGGTGGCCCCGGCCAGCACAGTGGGGGCAACCAGGTAGGACAGGAGGCTCTGAGCTCTTATCCATCAACCCAGGTACGATAACCTGGAGATCCTTCCCCTCAGATGGAACCAAAGGCTTTGGGGCGTTAGGACAGGTTGTTGGGGCTCTCCCGAGAGCTCTGCTTTGTGTGCTCAGGAGGTTTTGGTAAATACCGCGTGTGTCTGATGCCTTATCATTACCATCGGAGGTTTTGCTAGCTCAGCTGGAACGTTTTTGGAGCGAGGTGATGGCAGAAGTGATTTGCTCCTTGAATTTTTAACAGAAGTGGGGCCCTCTTGTCTTTGGGCAACAAGAAAGCCCACGCACCTCACCTGCAAGGACCGAGACGATGCGCTGTCCTGAGAGATGCCGTGCCGCACCGAGCGTGGAGCACGCTACATAAACCTCACACCGTTACCGCCTGAGCGCCTGTGTAAAGCGGGCAGCGCCAGTAAAACTCGGAACAGCAAATGCGGAGCAAAGGTGGAGCATACGCGAGTTGAATTAGCACTGGTTTCCTACGCGGCGCCTATATAAACGCGTGCTCTGCGCCTCTCCCCAGTCACCCATCGCAAACCACCCGTGAGCGCCACACTGGGGAGCCGTGCCCAGCTGCGGTGGGGTGCATTCGACGGCGTTTCCCAGATGTTTCTTTTCCTTTCGCAGCCTCCTTGCCCTTGCCTGCCCCTTGCAGCTCTCCGCTGTGGCTGTTTGGTGATGAAAAGGCTCTTGGGAGCCCGGACTGCTCGCCCTGGGTCTTGATCGGGTCCTGCTCGGGTGGGGACAGCGAAGAGCGAACCCACCTCTGGGTCCGCTGGAGGGGTTTGCAGGTAAAGCACTGCCCTCCACCGCTTGCTTTGAACCTAAGGGCTCTTGGCTCGGCTCAGCGGTGTCACATCTCCAAAGGGATGTGGGGACTCCTCAGTGCCAGCGAGGCATGTGCGGGTTCATACGTGGGGTGCAGTGCACCAGGGTGTCCTCGAGGAAAGGGAGATGCTGAGCGTAACGTCAGGACCGAGCTGCCTAACCAACCTGCTGGGAGCAGGGTGCAAGCCCCCTCCGTGGGGTTTGCCTCCCAGCGCATCTTCCTACAAAAAGGGGAAGAGGGGCAAATCCTCTCCTCTTCGCCCCCCAGCCATTTCTGGCAGGGCAGTGATGCTTCGCCCCGATGCGGTCCCATGTCCGGCGGTCGCAGGCGCGAGCGTGGGACCTGCTGGGCTGCGCAGACCGCATGGACAACCCCCGTCCTGCGAAACGCGGCTGCCAACTCCAGCGGCGGTCGGATCTATGCACGTTTGGGGTCCTCAGGTTTAGCTCCAGCCGGGTGCCCGGCTTCGTTCCCCGCTGCCGGGGCGGGGGATGAACGCCTGAACCTGCTGCTCTGCGTGCCTGAGGGGAAGGGGCTGCGGGGAGTGAGAGGTGGGGGGAGAAAAAGATACTTCCTGATGGCGAAGAGTGATTTTTTGATGGGCTTCCTACTACCGCTGGCTTACGCAACGTATGGAAAGAAGCTCGTCCTCTCCGCTCAGCCGCTGGGCACACTCCCGGGCGGTTTCGCTGGCTGAGCCCTTCCCCGAGAGCCTGCGGGATGCGCCCTGGCGCGGCTCCTTTTCCCTGCGCTTCCCTCCGGAGCACCCGCGCCCGCCCGCCTCTGAGCGCTGGAAGATGCTGCTGCATCCCCTACGTCTTCCTTCTTCCATTCTTGGAAACAACTTTGTAATACCCCAATGGCTTCCTCAGCTATACAGCGGAGCGCGGGCTTAATTTGTGTAATCGAGCCCTGCTGCAAAACGCTCTCATGAAGCAGCCTTGTTGGAGAGCGGAAATGCCGAGAGTGAATAATCACTCCTCTAACCTTAAGCAAATTGTTCTCCCTGGCTCAGTATCCTTCGTAATGAAGTCTGCACTAGACTTCTAATGTAAAGGCCTTACCTAACAAATAAGACAACGAAGGTGAATTCCCCGTGGTGTGGTTGCTAATACCGGAATCAGTGCTGTTGTCATCATTTTTTAAAAAAATACCTTTTGGGGGTTTTTTGAAGTTAAGCTTGGAGGTGTGATTAGAAGTTTTTTGGGTTGTTTGTTTGTTTGGTTTTTTCCACATTGTAACGTTAATTTATAGCTGAGTTTCCTTCAGTTCTGCGTTCAGAAGTGCAGTCCAGGTATTAGTGATGTGTCATCTGTAACATGGTACTGTCGAGTTGCTAATTTGTAAAAAAAGGAACAAACCATAAAGAAAAAAAAAAAACCCACAAAAAAGAAAACCTGGAAAAAAAAAGTAAATTGAGTATTTTTGTGGTATGTACAACACAAATTAATTTTACACAGAGAAAGATGTTTCTAGGCAAATGAAATGCTGATAATTCATACTATTTGTATGAACAAATAAAAGCTATATTTTACCAAGCGATGGACACGGTTGTATTCATTCCAGGCTGCGGAGGTGGAGGTGGCCTCCCCACGTGGGTTTGGTGGTGCTGCCCCCCGACACTTGCACGCCCACCCAGAGATGTCCTTGCAGTTGTGCTGGCCCTGTGGCAAAGCACGTGCTGGAGGCAGCAGGATTTATCCCCATCCTTGAGCTCCCGTCCAGCGCAGGGCTGTCCCTGGGAGCTGTGGGCTTCGCTGGGTGGTGAACGCGTCCGTGTTTTGCCCGGTTGGGTTCTGCGGGGGCTGATTTGTCCCGTCAAACACACCTTCATCCAACACCATTTCAGGGAAGGAGACCTGAGGGATTGCCCACAGTCCTGCTGCAAAAACTGGATGGCCTCGGTGGTTGGTGAAACCATCCTTCTGCGTGAGGGATGCTGGGGGGCAAATTCAGTCCTTTCCAGTGCCAAGTTTCTCTTCCAAAGCATTGCAGTTACGGTAGTGGTGCTGGTCCAAACCTCTGGGGCCAGTGGTTGCTATTGCTGCCCTACACACTCAGGGCTTTAAGATATAAAAATTTGTTATCATTAAATTCAGAAGAGTCCCAGGCCAGCACTATACAAAGCAGTGCCTAAAGAACGTTACAGATTTATGTAATGCTGCAATTGCCACTTAACTAAACTGAATTAAAATAATTTAATTTTTCTTAGCAAGTCTTGCATCCGGTGCAGAGTAATTGATGGGAGTCTTTCAGATAGATTGACCATTTTTCAGACACCTTCTAGAAAAGGAGTCAAAAGTAAGTGCAAGATTTAATATAGCGATTTAGGAAGAGTTCAACTGGGAAACCTTCAGCACGTCAAGATTGTAATTAGCTGCTCCCAAACTCTGGCAATGCTTAAACTCTATAGGTACCTCATTATTAATATGTATACACGTAGATTTGGCTTTAAAATTCCCAGGTACCTTTTGAGCAGCACAGCTGGATGTGCTGTGAGCTCTCCTCAGCTGGATGGAGTTGAGCAAGTTGTTACCTCATTCTCACCTCCCCTTGATTGCATTCAAAGCCAGGTGCTCCTCCACTAATGCCCCCGCAGATGTCAATCCTGTAGGTAGCCCAGGTCTGGGCTCAACCTGGTTTTGCAGCAACTCATAAGGTGCTGTCCCTCGTTCCTGTATTTTATAAGAGCTCTTCAGTTCTGGGGTGGAAAGGGTGTGAGTGCTTTTCCTTCCCAGGGGCACTGGTGCTGCAGAGGAAAGGGAAGGTAAGCCCTTATGGGGTTCAGCATCTGCACTGTCCTCTGCATCTCCCTGTAGGCACCTGGGCTTGGGGATACCCGGGATCCTTTCCCCAGTTTGGGCTGGGCTCCACTGTCAGGTGCTGTTTTGGCAAGAGCATTTAGAAGATGAGGCTAAGGGTGTCTGTATGGTTTATGGGATCACATTCTGAATACAGAGAAGTTTTTGCTCTGAAGAAGATGAGCTGAAGGGTCTTCTAGTAGCTCTGGGGACACAAGTTAAAGGAGGAAGCTCTTGAAGAAGGAAAATGGCTTGATGAAGAGGTAGAGCCATTGAAAGGTTGTTGATAAAGATGGTGAAAACTAAGGTGGATGTATCTATAGCTCATCACCTAT